AAGCAAGTTGCTTGTTCTTGTAGTAACAGTCGGTCTGCCTATGTTGTTTTATATTTTTCCTGTAGGTCTTTCTTTCAAGAAGTATCTTCTATTTTTCTAGCCACTCCAGGTTGGTCTGCAGTCATAAGATTTTCAGTAACTAAATATTCATTAGTAGTTTCTTTTTTCCTAGTCAGGCTTCATTTGGAAGCTCAGCTGAAACCTGTCCACTATGGATGACCCTGTGGTATTTAAAATGCTGATGGCATAGCTTCCAAAATCAGAGCAACACGCAAACCACCATAGTATGGCAAACTGATAGACAAGATGTTTACTTGTGCTTTATTGACTCTGCAAAGGCTTTTGATTGTGTGGATCACGACAAGCTACAGCCAACATTGCAGAGAATGAGTATTCCAGAACACTTAATTGTGCTCATGAGGAATCTTCCCCTAGACCAAGAGGCAATTGTTTGAACAAAACAAGGGACACTAAATGGTTTAAAATTAGGAAAGGTATGTGTCTCGGTTGTATTCTTTACCATACTTCTTCAATTAGTATTCTGAGCATATAAACTGAGAAGTTAGATTATATGAAGAAAAACATGGCATCTGGATTGGAGGAACACTCTTTAACAACCTGTGATATGCAGATAATACAACAAACTTGCTTGCTGAAAGTGAAGACTTGAAGTACTGATGAAGATCAAAGACCACAGCCTTCCATATTGCACCTCACCACTGGACCATTAAGCGGAGAAAAGATTGACATTGTCAAAGACTTCATTATGCTTGGATCAACCATCAACAGTCATGGAAGCAGCAGTTAAGAAATCAAGCAATGTATTTCATTAGGCAAATCTGCTGCACAAGACCTCTTCAAAGTGTTCAAGAGCAAAGATGTCAGTTTCAGGACTGAGGTGAACCTGGCCTAAGCCATGCAATTTTCAGTAACTTCAACTTCATGTAAAAGTTGAACATTTAATAAGGAAGACCATGAAGAATCGATGCATTTTAGTACCATGGACTGCCAAAAAAAAAAAAAAAAAAAAAAACCAAACCAATCTGTCTGTGGTGGAAGAAGTACAGCCAGAATGCTCCTTAGAAGACTTTGTCTCTCATTCTTTTGACATATTATTAGGAAGGACCAGTCACTGGAGAAGGATATGATGTTTGGTAAAGTGAAAGGTCAGAGAAAAAGAGGAAGATCCCCAACAGGATCTCGAATTGGCACAGTGGCAGCAGCAATGGATTCAAGCGTAGTAACGATTGTGAGGTTTTGGTGCAGGACTGAGCCGTGTTTCGTTGTTGTGCACAGGGCTGCTATGAGTCGGTACTAACTTGATGGCACCTAACAACAAACAACATGTTATTACACTATGAGGAGCCCTAGTGTGGCGCTACAGGTTAAGGGATAAGCACTGGACAGCTAACTGCATGATCGGAGGTTCAAGCCTACCAGATGTTCCTATTGTCGGAACCTACTGGACAGCACTTAACAACACGACACTATGAATTGATTAATGCGCTGGACTGCAAAGTTGATTTGAACCTCAAGGTCAGCGGTTCAAGTTTACCAGCTGCTCCTCAGAAACTCTATACAGGGTCACTAGGCGTTGGAACTCGATAGCACTTAACAAGAATAACATGGAAAGTATACACAATCAGCTGTGGCTTGGATGTTGTAGTAGAGATACAGCCTGTAAGAGTGGACAGACTGGAAGCTCTACAAATACACTTCTAACGCAGATATTTACAAGCCCCGCCCACGAGAACCTGGAGGGAGTTGTAGGGGCGGGCGAGCTTCCGGGGGTGGGGCGGGGCCAGCGCTGGTTGGCCGGCCTCAGGCGGAAGTCGCGAGTACGATCGGAGGACGCAGACTTGTGACAGGGAGGGGGAAAGAAATGCCTACGTAAAGGTTGCCTCTCCAACCCTTCGCTCCCGGGGATCCTCAAGAGAATACCCAACACCCCGGTCCCGCGGCTAGCCCCTTCCCCCAGGCTCTCTCCGCTCGATTTCGCCACCGTTATGTGGGAAGCGAATCCGGTGAGTAGCCGGGCGGGACGGGGCGGACCCAATGGGCGGGGTTGCTTTGAGAGAGGCGGGGAGGGGTTTCCCGGGAACTGTTTCCCGTCCTCTTGAGGCTGGGTCTTGAGTTCCGGGGACCTGAAGATCCCGGCCCTTGTGGCCTCTGCGGGTTCTGCCTTTTTGAGGTGTGGAGATGGCTCGGTGGGTTTTCCAAAACAGTGTTGCTTCCCGATTACAATCATTTGTTTTACTTGCTGTGGTTTCTCCGCCTCCCTTCAATGTATCTTTGTTGTTGTTGTTAAGTGCCATCGAGTCGGTTCCGACCCATAGCCACTCTGTACAGGGTTTCCGAGGCTGTAAGTCTTTATGGGAGCAGAACGCCTCATCTGTCTCCCGCGGAGCGGCTGGTAGTTTCGAACTGCTGGCCTTAAGGTTCGCAGCCCAATTCGTAACCACTACGCTACCAGAGCTCCTTCAGTGTATGTTTAAAGTTCTAATTTTTTGCTTTCTAGTTATAGTAACTGGGCTTTGAACCGGTTACTTTCCTTTATCTTACGTATACCTCGCAGTCCTACCAATGTGGGGATCCGACCCCCAGTCTTGAATGTGCCTAAGAGGAACGAACTTGGTGGACAGCCATTTACAATTTGGGGAACTGATTTTGTGCTCTCGGCCTCTAAGTGAAGCTCTTGAGATATTTTCTTTAAGTGCACAAAAATGATGAACTGGAACCTTTCAATTGCAAGTCTCTCTCCCACCTTATTTTACTCCGGTTTTTACATTATGCCTGCATGTATTTTTGTAGGCTTTGCTTTTTGTACATTTATTTACATAAAATATGTAAAGAATGGGATCCATTTGCCAAGGTATTCCACCAGTCTCTTGTTAGTTGAAATCTCCTCGCAAAATGGCAGAACAACAACACCTTTTGTTGTTGTTGTTAAGTGCTCTATGAGTTGGTTCTAACTCATGGTGACCCCGTATAGGGTTTCTAAGGGGTGGCTGGTGAGCTTGAACTGCTGACCTTGTAGTTCAAACCGACTTTGAAGTCCAGCTCATTAACCCACAGTGCCACATGAGGACTCCACACCTTAGGAGTTGAGCTTTGGAAACTGAATATGTGACACCACCCCATGTGCTGAGATAACCATCTACCATTCCTTTCATAGTGTTTGGTTTCCATTCTTGTAATAGCTCCTTTGCTATAATCAGTGTTCCTTTTCTTTCTGTTCTGTTTCTGGATTGTATTTCCAGTAAAAGAGAAAACCCAAATCCGTTGCTGTCAAATTCCAACTCATAGTGACCCTGCTGAAATACTCAGTTTCATTATTTGCCATTAACAAATTTCATTATATGTCTGTATTTTTCTCTCATTTTCACTAGTTGTCTTTTGCGAGTTTTCCATAACATATCCTTCAGTCTACCTGTCTTTTTCAAACTCATATTTTAAATTCTTCTCTGTATGGTAATCTCCAGATGAGCAAGATTTTTGCCTGTTTTGTTTTACTGCTTTGTCCTCAGACTAGAGAGCAGAGCCTGGCATATAATAGACACTCAGTAATATTCATTGAAATAAAGAATCATCTTAGTTAGGTGAATGGACCAGTTCCAGATTGCTCTCATTGTTTATTCTCCCTCCTTTATCACTAATACACCAGAATTTGCAGTTGTATATTTGTGGGGTTCATAAAAGCATTCATAATTATCTCATGCATTTGTTTTCGTTGTCATTTCTTTGTAACAGTCTCTCCTGGAATCACCCTCCTAATGTTGCTTGATTTCAGTAAAGTTGTTACTGTGTTCACAGTGGTGAGCCTTCCCCATACAATCAATCCCACTTTCTTCTGACCCTTGTTCAACTGTGTTTTATTGTTTGCTGATGCTGGTTTTCTTCTGAGCATGTAAGGACAGGCTGTATATTTTTTTACTGCAATAAAAATTCTGATGTTAGTTTCTCTAGTAATTTGTTAGTTTCTTCTAATAGAAGGGACATTTTGATAGTCTGTATAGCTATGCTCCTGGAATAAAAATTAGTTTTAATGTTACCATAAACAGAGACCTAACCCTAAAATACTGGAGAAAACTCAAGGCTCCAGGAATTGATGGAGTGCCAAGTGAAACATTTTAACAAACGGTTGCAGCACTGGAATCGCTCACTCCGTGCAGCCAAGATACATTTGGTAGTGTCCATATTTGTGCCCATTCCAAGGAAAGGTGATCCAACAGTATGTGGATATTATTGAACAATAGCATTAATGAGACATGCAAGTAAAGTTTTGCTGAATATAATTCAAAACCAGTTGCAGCAGTACATCAACAAGGAACTAACAGAAATTCAAGTTGGATTCAGAAGAGGACATGGGATAAGGGATATTATAGTTAATGGCAGATAGATGTTGGCTGAAAGCAGAGAGTAACAGAAAGGTGTTTACCTGTGTTTCATTGATTGCAAAGGCGTTCAACTGTGTAGATCATAACAAATTATGAAAAACATTGAAAAGGATGGGAATTCCAGAGCACTTAATTGTACTTGTGAGGAACCTGTACATAGATCAAGAGCCAGTCATTTGAACAGAACAAGGGACACTGCATGGTGTAAAATCAAGAAAGGTATGTGTCTAGGTTGTTCAATATTTATTCAGTCTGTTCAGTAAGCAAATGATGTGTGAAGCTGGACAATATGAAGAACACGGCCACAGGATTGAAGGAAGACTCATTAACAACCTATAATATGTAGATGATACAAGTTTACTTGCTGAAAACAGAGGGCTTGAAGCACTTGCTGGAAAATCAGTATGGATTACACCTCAACATAAAACAAAAATCCTCCCACTAGACAAGTAAGTAACATGATAAACAGTGAGAAGATTGATATTATCAAGGATTTCATTTTAGTTCTATAATCAATACCCATGGAGTAGCTGTCAAGAAATCAGACGCCATATTGCATTGAGCATATCTGTTGTGGAAGAACTCCTTAAAGTGTTACAAAGCCAAGATATCACTTTGAAGACTAGGGTGTACCTGATCCAAGCCCTGGTATTTTCAGTTGCCTCATATGTATTTAAAAACTGAACAGTGAATAAAGATGAATTGATGCCTTTGAATTATGATGTCATAGAATATTAAATATATCATGAATTATCAGAAGCACAAACAAGTCTGTCTTAGAAGAAGTACACAGCAGAATGCTCCTTAGAAGCCAGGATGATAAGACTTCGTCTCATATACTTTGGACATGTTATCAGGCGCTGTAAGGCCATCATTGGAGAAGAACACGTTTCTTGGTAATGCAGTCAGCAGAAAGGTAAAGGGTCTGTGAAAAAGAAGACCTTCAGTGAGATCAACCGACACTGGTTACAACAGCAGGCTCACACAGCAGTGATGATGAAGATGTCGCAGGATGAGGCAGTGTTTGGTTCTGTTGTACAGAGTTGCTGAGTCAGAAGTGACTTGATGGTGTCTAACAGCTACAAGCCTAACACAATTCAAATGGTCTAAAAAACCCACAGAGACACTAAAGATAAATGCAGATATCCTTTGTCTTACCTACCAGTTTAAGTTACTCTTCAGCATTTCTTTCCATTCTACTTTGTGAAGGAAGGCCTTTGTTAACAGTTGTAAGTTAAGACTTCTGCCTGATTTCTTCCTGTATATTTTTGATCAGTGGCCTTCATGGGAGTCCTGGTATGGTGCTGCGGGTTAACACACTGGACTGCAAAGTTGGTTTGAACCGCAAGGTTGTCAGTTCAAGTTCACCAGCCACTGCTCAGAAACCCTATACAGGGTCACTGTGAGTTGGAACCAATTCGACGGCACTTAAAAACAACAAGAACATGGCCTTTATATACTACTTCTTATGTGCAAATATACCTCCTATTACTATTATTAAAAAGAATCACTTGTGGAACACTGTTTCACTCACAGTAGTTTTGAGGAAGTGTTACTCTGACCCATGCCATGGTACTTCTCAGAAGCAGCCACCCTTCCATGTGAAAAGTTCATGAAATGACCAACATGTTGGAATTCATCACTGGCCCATCACCTTTCCTTGGAGGGAAAAAGATAGCCAAAGAGATCTAAGTAAATGTTAGCACACAGTTTTAGTTTTTTTCAGGAAAATCATGTGGTCTGGGATGATGTTTCCTGGTCCCTTCCAGGCCTGGCTAGATCCAAAGAAGCAGCAGGCATCCTGTTCTGATGTGAGCACTTGGTATCTTTCCATTCTTCAGGGGAAGAAGAAATCCTTGATTAATGGTCCCTCAGCTTGAGAATTCTGTACTCTTCGATTTACAGCACATCGAAATGACATTTTTGTCATCCTCAATGGACTCAAATCCTGTTTTTGAAATGTTTGAGTTTTAGGAACAAAAAGAAGTCTGAAGCCCTATATCAGGGCTATAGGGTGGATGGGGCAAGTTTCCCATTTTTAACAACAAAATTTCCCTAGAACAGCTCTTGCTTCCTTGGAAGAATGAGCAAGTGCTTTTTAAATGATGGGAAAAAAATCCTCAGTGAAACTTTTCTGGACTTTTTTCTCACCAATACGCTTTTCATAAATTTTTTTCATAATAAGCCCTCATGATCATCTTGTGTCCTTCAAGGAAATCTATCAAAATTACCCCTGTGGAATTATTAAAAAACAGTTGCCATAGCCTTCTGAGCTTGTGTTTCTACTTTGAATTCATCTTTGAGGACTTGCCAACCTGCCTTAAAATGCTTGGTCCATTTAAAAACTTGTTTTTAAACTTACTGCAAAGTTTCGGTGATTTGAGAAGATATCCACTGGAGTTTTGTTAAAATTTTGACAAATTGTTTTTTTTCCATGTCACCCTAAAGAGACTGAGATGGTTGTTACTGAGAACTTGTCTGCAACCATCTACTGATTGCAGAACCATGTTTCAACACGTTTTGTTTGGAACAGACCTGTGCATGTGTGAACTATAGACCTCGTAGCAGTTCTTTTAAATTTACCCTCATATTACACATGAAATTTTGACTTCTATGATACACTGGTG